ACGTATTTTGACCAGAAGAAGTAAAATAAAAGTGTAATATAGTCATCAACCAATCAAATAAGTAGCTAATTTTGTCACTACAACTATCTTAAACCACCGTATAATCTCCAACCCGATATTAGGTTTCCAAAAGATCTCTTTCAGGAATTCATGTTATAGTGCCTGACCTATATCATAATTAATACTTGGATAGTTATCATCTCGTGATCTAGAATCGATGTATTGTCATGTATCGATAAGCACAACATTGCTTAGAATGTCGATATTGTATTCTGAATATCTGGAATATATCAAAGTATTGAGCTAATTACCTTTAAATCATATTTGATACCTAAGTTCAGAAACTTTATTCCGCTCTTTCATCAGATCCTTAAAAACGGCTCGCATGTACTTTCTAGCGTCATCCTATTAATTTCTGGCCTATACTCGCCACCAGGTGGCATTTCACGAACCCGAATTATAATTTTAATTGTCATTATTTAGAACGCAAATGGGTGTATGGTAAATTATTGTTTATCAATTTGAAGCTGGCACATAACCATCTCACCTCCCAATTATCAAGAAATGCACTGGTCTCAGAACCACCTTTGCAAATTATTCCGATATATTATCAGATCAATTTAAACGGAGCAAATCGCCGATTTTGTCAGTAGAAAGTTGCTACGACCTTTATTTGTCACTTCCTATAGGTGGCACTCATCCTTTTACCCCATCCTCATAAATTATATGTCCGAAATTCCGTGCATCGTGATTTGGAAAAGAAGAGAATGGCTACCACTCTAGGCCCTATCGTATTAGAACATAGTCCGTGATTGATGTCTTGTACTTGAAATCTGTCTATCTGAAAGATACTGATTGTATTGCAAGTGATTTGCGATTTCTAGCCGAATTAAACCTCGCCTTGATTAGACAGAGGTCGCCATCATAGTTTATTTAGTACCTTGCCACATCCGGACGTTTCTCTTCTCGCACGAATCGTGAAGCTACCAATTTGCAGAACTTTACCCGCTGGTGCTACTCTTACCACACGTTTGCGTGGATGCCGTATGACGCAATCACGTCCTCTATATTCCAGACCATGTATTCGTCTATATATTCTTACTATATCAGTCTTAGCAGATATATGGTTGATCTCAATGCACTATACTGAGCATTTTGAATTTACGTGCGCTTACACATCACGCTTCATCAGAAATCGCCTTAACATCATCATATTGCATAAGCGTCATAAGCAGCAAACTGTATATTTTGGGTTGCACGTATTCAATGTATTGGATATGGAGAAGAGCTTTTTTGCCGCTAGTTGAATATATGTCGTTTCGTATGCTGAATCCTAGGTGCGTGAAAGTGATTTATCGAATAAGAGAAATCATTCTTTGGTGACCTACGAACTCCTATTTGTAGTGGAATAAGATCGTGAAATGCCTATTGACGCCATTGATTCGATCGTTTAATATCTTGATTGATGTCAATCTTTGACCGTGATGATTCTTGATCATTGTAATTAGATACATAATGATTATTACCTTTTGGGGTATAAACGGCGTTGGTCCCCTCATTAATTGATGTATGCATTATGTCAAGCAGCCAAAACATGAATCGATGCTAGACGCGCATGATGGTTGGTGAGCGAGTAGCTACATTGAGAGATTGCTGGTTATTACAATAAATTTGAAGATCCACTATATGATATTCGTACAGCTTCCAGGCCATTTATCACCATTTAACTTTTCCGATCATCAAGCTTGTTTGTCAAAAGACGTTCCTCTGCACATATTTTGTATCCTTTGTTAGCATGGTTTTCGTGATGTTGGAACTTACTTGTTACAGGTCTTGCATTTGTTTTCGAAAAAATTTATGTCCTTACTTCTTTCAGAAACAAGTGTGGTGAAGCGACTACGGAAACTGGCGATAGGGGAGCTGATCGCGTTCCAGAAAGTTTTGATTCAGTTAACGGTTGGCAGCGCCGGTCCCAAAACTGGTCGTATCGCGTTCACTGGACAGTCAGACAAAACTGGATATCAGATCGGACAGGATGGAACTGCGATATCGGGTTAAAGCATGACGGACGAAGGGTACGATTCCTGGAGACGGGGTTATTGAAATGGGGGAAATTACATTGGAGATCAGTCGATCAAGACGGAAACCGCGATCAGCAAGGCGATCGCGATCAAGGAGGCTATCGAGATCGTGATCGGCGATCAGATTGGTGTGAACCACGATAATCGTCGCAATCTAAAGAGTGTGTACCACACCATGTGACTCGCGATCAGCAAAACGATCGCGATCGGGAGGTGATCGCGATCGTGATCGGTGATTAGGAGGCGATCGAGATCGTGATCAGGGATCAGGATGCGATCGAGATCGTAATCGAGGGATCGGGTATGTGATCGCGATCAGGAAAGTGGATTACGCCACACGATCGACGACCAGAAGGGCGACTGCGATCGGATAAGTATATCAGGTGTGTGCCAGGCAAGTACAAGGTCGCTACCGTCTATAGAGAGCGACATGTGGCAAGCGATGTCCAAGACATGGGGACAGGGATAGGGTTGTTGGGTCTGATTGGTTAACAATAAACATAGCTCAATTTTCTTCAAAGTACACGTGTCGACTTCTCCTCCGGGTGGATCATTGGCCACCCGACGTCAAGGAAAAGTTACATACTTCAATTAAGTAATATCCCTGGATTGTTTGGCCAGGGATCAAGAACTATAAAAAAAGCACCTTAACTGCGACTGGACGCAGGAAATCCTTCGTGGTTGAAGACTCAAGATCGCGAGACGGATCAAGTGGTCAGAAGGATCGCGAATCAAGGTATTCATTCGGACAAGGAGATCTGTCACAGGTCGGGGCGACTCATATCGAGCACCATACAAGTATACAAGTGACCCCGTGAAGAATTTTACTACATTACGTCAACCCCGATCGCAATGTGAAGATTTCCATACCGAGATCAAATATCGACCCCACCGCAAACACGGTCAAGTTTTCCATTGACACGAGTCCACCTGGAAGAGTGCAACTCGCCCCACCGACGGGTTTACAAGGTGAGGAAGGCAATCAAGAACACGAAATCGGAGTACCCCCTCCGTTAGTTGGTCGTCTGGGTGACAGTGTGGAGTAGGGATCAACTCCATAAAAGAACGATCACCACTCCACCACACAAGTGCAAGACCTGTAACAAATAAGTTTCGACATCACCTGATTGGTTGACATGGGACGACATGACAGATGGTCGAGAAGATACGGTCACCATATGGGATCAGCAAGATACCGTGACATGTGGAAATAGGAGATAAGGACGCCATGAGGGACCAAGCCTTGACTACAGGCGGACTGGACGTAAGCCATGCGCAACTTGACCTGGTGAAGCTGCAGTGCTAGTCAAATGCATTATTTAGGGCTGAAGAATTAAAGTTTTTAGCAAATTATACATATTATTTTACGACCTACTAACTTTGCGCTGGTGCAAACAACGCTACTTACTTCCAAGACTTATGGTGAGATGTACCTGCTTTTACCGTGTTATAAGTGTTGGTAGCTTGTATGGTGTCTGTACAAGCGTGTAGTGCCCTACATGTATTTGTCAGTAAAATTATGTCAAAGACCAACGCTGGCTCATCACAAATTTCGACAACGCTGGGCTGAATCGACGCGCACAAACCGTTATATTATGTGAAAATACCCATCAAATGTTCCTCATCTGCAACTCTGACCAATGATCTGTCGATATATCGGCACTTATTACTTCATGCTTTCGAGATGAGTGAATCATCAATAGATCTTCCAAGCATTATTACTCCATATTTCATGTAGTGAAGATGCTTGTTGATCACTCGGCACTAATTTTCAAACATCTCTATCCGTTTTTGATGCGGGTATGACCATTTTAATTACTGTTTCCTCGCGACAATATGATCAAGAAGTCTTCTTGGCGTTTGTCGTCCTAGCGTTGCACTACCACCCGAGGTATAATCTTTGTTAAGGACACCGCTTACATCATTTGCTGTTAAGTTCATACTTTTTAGGGAGTGCATCACACAGAGCAGGAACTATTGATCGAGAGAGGTAATTTGTTACTTTGTTGTATAACACATGCCCTACTACGTAACGATAGCTGTATAATGCGATCTCGAATATTATAAAACATACCTATTCTTGTACAGATACAGTGAATCATGTTGTGTGCCTGTCGTTTTCTCGAAGATTTACGGTCACATCAGGACGACGCATTAGCGAAGATTAACCTCCCTCTCCAATAAGTAAAGGCTAAATTACTAACGTATAACTTAAGTACACAAAATGGTACATACTCGGTCACGCGCAAAGGAAGCGTAAAGATATTAGATAGACACGAAATGAGAAACGCCTTTTTATCGGATCCGTGTGACCTTGTTGGGAATTCATTCCAGAATCGTCATTATAATTTACCTTACTACGATTGAGTGTGCGGGTTTCTTACTTAACCCCTTACTGCACGCGTCCAGAAAAGTCAAGCTTATGTCGGTTATTATGGTGGCCTAATCTGCGACAGAGCTGTTGGTCGTAATAATATTCTGCTAGATTTTGTGCGCATAAGGTAATGTTTGTATATTGTAATCTGCTAAGACATTATTCACATCGACATTGATACCAATGTCAGTGTTATGAAACGATTTCATTTCATTTAAGAGCGAGGTAAGGGCAATCTTTCGGGCAATTACCGTGCGAGCTACAGTAGGCAAGAACATTGAATAATCGAGGCAACACTGAGCACTCTGACGTAATTTTCATACTTCCTAGTCCCAAAACCGATCGGTTTCGTCGAATGCATCGTAAGTTTCTATCGTTCGATATTTGTCCAATTCGAACGGAATTTCAACAAAACCGATCAATCGTTATAATATGCAGCCGTGTTCAGTAGTGTTGACGCTTGCAACAAATCTAGTCGTGGTTCACTTGTAGTGAGACACAAACTGCGTTTCTTTCGCCAAGGCTAAGCGCAAATGCAGCCATTGCTACTTATTGTTGCTCTTCTTAAGCTTGCTCGGTACCCGCTTGCTCTCGTGAGCGCCATGGAGTCCTGGCGCCGAAATCTTCACGGGCCCGACCATACACGTCACTAGCTCATTGTCTCGAATGCACCGCATCAGCTCGCGCTGCACTGCAAGCGGATTCACATCCGGCTGAACATCGTCGGCTTTCATGTGCACCTGCGTCTTTTGCATGTCCTTCTCTTCCTTCAGATTCGACGCAAAGAAATGATCGATCGCTTGCTTGGCTGCCTTGCCCTTCTTCTGGCTTCCAGGCGTGAGCTTCACCTTGTACTTGAACTTACTCAGCGAGACGTACGGAGCGCACATGGGCATGGCAAACAGCACAATGTCGTTCGGTAGAGGCTCGCCCGTGAACGCATCAAAGAATCCGATGCTTTCCACCTCACCCTCTTGCTCGTCAAGAAACTTCTCTTTTTTCTCGCGCTGCTGACGAATGTACTCGTTCTTGGTCTCGGTGGTAGCACTGGTCACAGGACTACCATCGCCCTCGTCATCGCCCTCGCCATCGCCACCTCCATCTCTCGCTTGTCCGACGCACTCACTGTTCTGATCACGCTGGCTGTCCCCATCGTCTGTCTCCTCCATCACGTGACCCAGCGCCTCCATGCGCAGCCGGCGGTTGTCATCGTCCTGGTCAGCGTACTTCTACTTCATTTTCTTCATCTTACCCTTCTTGCCACGAACGCTCTTATCCAGCCGAGATACCTGGACGTTGCCCTTGTCGAGCGACTTGCGCGTGTCCTTCCTCTGGGCCTGTTTTGCCTGATAAGACGGCTGACTATTGTCACCCGCTCCATCCTCCAAAGCTGTTGGGACACCTTTCTTCAGGTCACGGCACTCTCTTGTCGACAACCGTTTTCGCCCGTCACGCTGAGACTGCTATCTAGACGGGCCTGACTTGTCTTCTCTGTCGCCAATCTCATTACCTTGAGCGACATCCGCAGGAACATGAGACATACGCGGCTCCGAACAACTGTCGTCTGTCGCTTCCTCACTTTTCTCCTCGACAGCCACGTCTTGCTGGTGCAATCCTTCCTGTTCTATCGGCAGAACGTTTGGTGTGTCACTCCCATCCTTCTCGTCGAAGTCGTCCATCACCTGAAGATCTCGTTCTTCATACTGGCGCGCATGCTGGCTGACGCTGCTCACGTCAATATGAAAGAGAATTGTTAGTCCCATTTCGAGCCGAGATGGCTGGATGTAATTCTTCTTGCCCCGATCCACGAAACTGCCAGTCGTGAGGAACACGCCTGCTGGCGCGGTCTTTGACACCTGGTCGGCATGGACCCAATAGGCTCCAGCAATCAACTGACAACTCCATGCGTCGCTGCGGCATACACTCATGCATCCTGCCTGTTCTAGCGCAGTTATAGATACAGGAGGAAGTTCCTGGGTCTCAATGTTCCTAGTGCTTGCATGGTTGCGCACAATACAAGAAGCAGCGCCGTGAAGATCGGCGTGGACGTACACATCTCCCTTTCGCAGATACCGCTTGATCAGTTGTTCGTTCTAGTGCGCATCTTTTCCAGCAACCACCAAGTTCTTTTCGCTGGTAAGAAACCAATGAAATTTTTCAAACCAAAGCGCTTTGCGCCGCTGGTAGATCACATTTCGCTTCGTTTGCTGCTTTTCTAGGGTTTTCAAAGTGGTCTTCTCAGCCAGTGCAATTGCTTTGTCAGTTGCCTCCGAAGCCTTGATCGCCTTCGCTCCAGCTTTCTTCTTCTTCGTATAGACTTCTCGTGCATTGGCAAGCGTCGATAGTGACAAATCGATCCAGATGATGTGAGCCTGTCTGTCTTCCTCACCCGTACCATCACCTCCGTATTCGTCTTCGTCACTCTCGTCGTCATCGCAAAGCAAAAGTGCTACGCGGTTATGCTCGAGATCGAGTTTGTGGATGAGACTTGCCACAGGGTTGCCATTCTTCTGCTCGTACTTGACAAGCTCTTCCAGACCACGCCAATCCAAACCACTGGCTAACGCGCTGCGAATGACCGAAAGCACATTCTCTACGTCTTGCTGATTGGATTCGATCAGCTGGGCTTGTCGAAAACTTTGCTTTTGAGCCTCGCGCAATTGAGCAAGCTGTTGTTCCTGGTTCTTTCTCAGCCTAGTAAGCTTGTTCTCCGCTGCAAGCTGGACAATTTGCTTTGCCAACTCAGCTGTCTCCGTCTCAAGGCGCGAAAAGTGCTCATAGTAGCCTCGTGACGAAGCTCTTGGCCTTCTTTTGCCGATGTCGAGCGTACAAAATGGCGTGAATCGTCAAGCTGCGTTTGCTTAGCCTCCTTGATAGAGTCTGTCAGGAAGAAAAAGCCACGTATTTGTGCGATAGTACAAAGCTTCTTCGCAGCGGAAAAAGTGCTCGTACTCGAAAATCGGGTGACACGAGAGTGCGTCCTGACCAAAGGCCAAGGCTCCGACACGATTCCCATTAAATTGCGTCAGTACCGATAGTCTCTTGTCTCGTTAATGTTTTCGCAGCTTCATCGTGAACTGTGTGGCAAAGAATTCGCTGACTTGGCCCAACGTGCGCATCGACTCGTGTGGAACCGCAGCCTCGCTTCGAGCATTAGCAAACATTGGGAATAGGGGCTGCTGCAAGCTGAAAACGCGCGACTTTGTGGCGCTATAAGTGTTCTGGCTTTGGACGTCGAGGAAATTGGTCACGCGCATGTTGACGACATCCGCACGATACTTGTGACGGGGTGAGCCTGTTTTATAAAATTAATACGAATGTATCAATTGTTTAATATTGTCGATTTAGATAATGTTCAATCAACATTACCCGAAAAAAGGTGATGTTGGCGGAATATTACCCCCGAGGGTAATATCCTTGGTTGCTCCAATTATTGGTTGATGTAGACGCTACATCAAGCAAATTAATCACCAATCGCTGCTGGACGCGTGCAATTGGTCGTAAGCAAGAAACCCACACAAGGGGTTGTACTATAATATAGTTAGAGGAAGACAAAGATGGTTCATTAGATAACTTAAATATATTTGATTCAGTTTCACTTTGTCCCTTATACAGAGCTTCTCTAGCACTGTTTGTACCCTCGCTCTTCCTTTCGCTACGTGTACGTGACACTGAGAGTACGCAGCCTTGTATTCCATCAACACAAAGTCTTACAAGTTATCTGGTAAGAACGTGCCTCGTTGCAATACTACCTAACCGTTACTGTGACGACGGCCATGCGGGTGTCCCCCGCGATTGTATGTGCATATAACGATCCTGTATCAATACTTGGCCACGTCAAAACATGTTTAGGACGCAAGTGCTTACGAACTGCTCATGTATCATTGCTTCGTCCGTCAAATCAGGTCTAAAAGGCAGAGTGAACATTTAGAAGTGCCACTACTTACTAAGAACTATTTTAGATCTATGCGGTTACGGGCGACGGAACACAGCAGAGCAATACAGCCGGCACAAAGGCGATGTCATTAATGCACGCCGAAAAAGTTTTACAATACTGTAGTAGCAAAAGTACGTGATTTTTTGGAGAGGCAAAAGGTGTAAGATAGAGTAGATTGTAAAACGAATGTCGTGAAGATACGTCGATCGTTGGAGTTTATATTTACCAGATGTCGGTAAATATAAAACATAAACGATCGACGAAGGAAATATGTGACAATATCCACAGCTCCTAGGTCGAACCTATCTCTTTGTGCTGCTCAACGTATTTAAAAGCTGGCTTATTACTGATCATAGAGCCACGTACTACATCTGGTCTGCTTGTAGTGACATACTGTACAACCTGTTTTTAAGTCCCATCCTTCAATTTGAGACTCCCCTTAAACATAACCATATATGCTAATAAAAGTCACTTCACAAGTTCATCCCTCCAGCTGACCCCCCTTTATAACCGAACCCCACCCCGAGGCAATTGAGAGCAGTCTTGTTCAAAATGTACAATCTATCAGCACACCATGACGCCAAAGTGATATCGCTCCAGCATGCTCTCCGCAATACCTCCTGGTTGTACTCAGCATAGGTTCTCATTTCCTGATCAACAATTCGGCTTCAACGCTACACTATCCACGAGAAAAAGAAGATTGCAAGGGAGGCGAAGAAGGCATCATTACGATCCGTGGCCGTCAAGTACAACGTCGACCGTCGCTGCATCCAAGACTAAGTCCATCAAGACAATGCTGGCGCGTTTGACGAGGGGTCACCGAGGAGGTTCCGTTTTTGCGGGGGCGGTCTCCGTGTTTCCTGTGAAGAACTGGACTTTGTACTCATCGCTGAAGTTCGTGAAGTTCGTTCCAAGCACATCCGTGTCTCTCGCCGCCGGGTCGTGGAGATGGAGGCAATATCCTCTGGTAGATGGCAGAGCAGCCCGGCCTCGCTCTCTCGGATATTTAAGATTAGGCTTTTCTTCGCCGACACAATCCAGTCTTGCGAAAGATAATTAACAAGCTGAAACTGAGTGCTGAACTTATCGCCACGCGCGGTGACAACTTCAGCTTTCACTTGCGCAAGGCTGTTCGCGAATACAAGATCGAGCCGCAAACCGTGATCAATCTGGATGAGACCGGGGGCTTTGCTGACTATGACAAGGAAATTACGCTGGCGGAACGCGGGGCCACCGACGTACCCGTCAGGTCTCTCGGCTTCGAAAAGGCTCGCCTGACTACTGTGTTTGCTATTAGAGGCGACGGGACCACGTTAATCCATGTGTTCTATACAAGAACAAGGAATTACGGATATCGACGAAGCGAGTGATCCTAATTATCGTAAAAGCCAATTCATTGATGAATTCGGACTCGTTAATACGATACGTCGACTACATGCTTCCGTTTCCTGAGCCGAACAAGAATTTTCTCGTTTTCGACTCCGCACCAAGTCATGTGAGCAAGAGTCTCAAACCTCACCTACAGGCTCGAAAGATCCTGTACGCGGTCATCCCCGGCGGGTCGAAGTCTTATGTCCATCCCTGCGATTACGGCGTCTTCAAGCCCTTGAAAGAGCGCCTCGACAACCTGATCGACAATCCGAAGGCGCAGGGACTACGCATCTACACGGTAGGTCGAAATGCACCCTCCGTCGCTTCTGACTGTTGTCGGCTGGATCAAGGCCGCGTGGTCGGATATTAGCGAGGCATCGATTCGCTGCAGCTTCCGCAGCTTCTTTCTTGAAGAAAACGCTGATTTGGCACTTTGGCGTCACGAAGAGTACGAATTCCATTTCCAGCGACTTGTGTTCAAGAGCGACATTGCCGACTCGCACTCGCACGTACTACTCTTGGATGGCAACAGTAGCAGTGGCATGGGCAACGACGACGACGACGATGAGTAAGAGCTTGATTTTTCAAAAGCTCCAGCTTTATAGTTTTCATTCCTTAGGAGCGCATACCCGCAGAGTGCAACGTGAGATTTGGTAAGTAGCGCGGAATTGCGTCGAACGTACCATATCAGATTCAGGTCACTTCGCTTGATTGGGGTCTTGCCGCTTTGCAAACACTATGGAAAAAAGAGCGAGTAAGTTACTCAATACACGTTTAATTGGTGGGCACACATTCGATAGAGATGCACTTCGTTTTCTTGTGCATATTTCTTGCAGAAAGCGCACAGGCGGGCCTACCCAAGTCTTAAACGGCACAGCGACTTACTGCGCAACGGTCCACATACTAGTGCGGGGGGTATGAGAGCCGTTTGTTTTATCCCCACGAACAAATTTGCAGAATGAGAAATCCGAAGCACGAGACTCGTGTTGGCGTATAGTTTGACTTCATCTTATCACATTTCCTCTCTCAATCTTTTTCCGATTCCTTCCACCCAGTATTATCCTAATTTATTTTACTCAAACAAGACCCCCCTCTTATAATAATCCACTCTAGGGTGGGGTTATGACGAAACCTCCAGTGATGGCATAAAACCGACCCCAGTGGCCGAGTGGTAGACCACTGGAGCTGGGACCGGGAGGTACTTGGATTGATATCCTGGAGGGGGGTTCGATTACAGGGCGCCGGAGATAGGCTAATAAAGTATGACGAGCAACCACCCAATGGGTGGCCGCCCTGCCAACCCGCACCGAAGGGTGTGTGATAGTTGGGTGGGGTGGAGGCTCTACTAGCCGAAAGCCCCATAGTGTAATGAGTGGTGTGGGCCCCTAGCGAGTTCAAACCGAGCCGCGGTACTCGCAGATCACCCCCGGGAGGTCTGAGGGGTCACACGGCATAAATCTCCAGTGATGGCATAAAATTGGTTTACTGTAATGCTGTACAAACTCCTGAATTTGGCAAATGTTATGAATACGTTTGACGAATTTTTTGCTGTGAAGGCAGCAATTTGCACGCTTCTGTTGTACTGTGCAATGCTATCAAGAACACTTGTGATTGTTACATACGTCGGTGGCTGAGCACGAACTAAGTGCTCATGCAAACCAAACTTATCAACATGCGATTTGCGGTCGTCGCTACGGTGAAATGTGAACAATTCGTGCTATCAACTTGGGTGAATGCAACATAACGCTGGATTCAAATGTTTGAATAGTGGCTTCTGATAACCAACAAATAACCTATAAATTATTCAATAATGAGGTATAATCTACAATCTAACGTACAAAGATTATATTTATCATGCTTCGTGCACGGTATGAGATCTCAATCGAAAGATGCTCTGCAGATATGTAAGGTTGTCGAGCACTCGAAAAAGAACGTTGCTGATCGTCCTTTTTTATCGCAAGCGATGGACAATCGGTCGTGCACTGCTGCAAAATGTTTTAGTGTATATTGTTACATACGCATCAAACATTGGACATTAAACGCGTGAAGAAACCCTGTGTCAAAAATGCATGATTTAGTGACCCGTGCACAGAAACTACTCTTTGTAAGCAAGCCACGTGCGGTCAGAATATGTAAGCGCATATGAGCAAATTCTGTAATGAAGTTGTTCTAGTGTGTTTGATTATAATGGTTTTGTCCGACATTCTTCAGACACGCTGTCGCCAGCTACGACCACTAGTAATTTCGCCATAGGTCAAAAGAATACAGTTTATCATTTTTGGACGCAGATGTGGACCTCGACTTGCCATTACCTTTTTCGCTATGTCGTACATGCACAATGATTAGACCGGATCGGTGATCTATATTTTGTGCACATATACAACGCCTTTGACAAAGTTCACATAGGAGCGATCTCCCTATCCGTTACGATAGTGGGTCATCTTGCATTTTCTTTGCGAAACAAGACCTGATTTTACTCAGCACCCAAAAGTAGCTTGACGCTATCTCACGCTTCATCAACTAGGAACAAAGGAAGAATGACTGACTGTTTGCGGCTAAGACTACCACGTGCGACCGTGATATCTTGAAGCTACAGTCAAAAGATGAGAAATGACTTACAGATATGTGTACACGTCAAGGCTAGACAATGCATAATAACTTCATCGGATTGCCTTGTATGCGGAGTTGTTTAACTGATTTGCGCAGGCGAAGGCAAAATGTGAAGTGAATATATCTATGGTCCTTAGTTTGCTAACTTGCTTCGCTACCTCTCAGCCACTCATTTCATATTCTAGACAAATTATATCAGTCTCATTAATTTATCTAGAACAATGATTACACCCTTTGATCTTCTCAAGATCTTCTAGAAGTTTAGGAAGCATTCCTTGTGACGTCACCCAATGACGTCAGGCTGTGCTTCTTCTCAGCCAGTCCTTCTCGATTCTTCGAAACATATCCATAAAAAAATATATCAGTAGAACTTGATATCTTAATCGTAACGGGGCACACCCTTGCGTGAACTTAACGCAAGGGTTTCGGGTGCCCCGACAGACGTACACGAGGCAAACGAGGAAGCGTAGGTAAGGGGAAAGTAGAACTGTTATATTAATATAATTAAGTCTTTTGTTACTGTCTCTCTGTTTAACCTGACTTAATTATGTTAATATAACTGAGTGTATGGTGACGTCTCGTCACCACTCATTGCGCGCGTCCTGCGGCGATTGGTGGGTTGATATCATCAAGATATCAACCAATGAGCAGACCCTTTGGTCGCTTCACCAATATCACCACTATCGGTGATATTGTTCAAAGAATATTCAACTTAATATTCTTTATTGTCACTTTCTCTATAAAGTGACAATTCCATGTAACGGGCTGCCCCGTTACATCACCCCCCCTTAACTGATAGTCACTGTGTGACTATCGAAAATATGGCGGCCACCCGTTGGGCACCATTGGGACAGGGAGCACTTGTTGGGTCAGTTCCGTTCATAACTCGACCTGACCTCGCATAGTTAACATGTCTATGCGGGGTGACTCAAGGCACACAGAGTCTGTGCCTGTGCCAGCTTCTGCGGCAGACGATTCGTCGTCTGCTGCTCGTTCTTCGCCTGCAGCAAGAGGTGCTGCAGGTGCACGCGGTACAGCACCGCGTGCGCATGATGACCCCGACATTGAGGTCATCTACTCTGGCGAGTCAGACGTGTCTGACTCGGGCAATGTTCCAGAGGCGTCTCGATCACCGGCGACGCCTCAGTATTCGCCAAGGCCACTGCCGAACGAACGGACTCGTGAGTTGGAACACAGTCTGTTCGGCAGTAATGATGAAGGTGATCAGAGTGGTGAGGATGTATTACTCATCACCGCCGACAGCTCGTGCTTCTTTGCACGAGCGTGATGACGATGGCGCGAGCCGTCGTCATTCTGGGAGCCGTGGTACCGACAAGGGTACCACTGTGAAGCGTGATGAGCTGAAGCCGTGGCGTTTGCCCGAACGGCTCATCAATAGCTTGTCTCACGAGACAAGCCAACACCATCGAATACCCTTATTCGATGCAACTGAGCTTCACGGCTTGAGCTCCCAGCGCGAGCAACTTTCGCGCTGAAGAGGATTTTTATCTCGATGTCTTCCTTAGACATCGATGGTACAACTGCAACCAAAAAGCGTGACAAAAACTCGCTTTTGGCAGCGTGGAACGCGTTCGTCCAAAACGTAAAGAATTTTGGACGAGAAGGGTGGCTCAAGAAACTTGAGGCGACACGCCTCAGGTTCGAAAAGCGAACGCCAACCGGTGCCAGGTACCGGTTGCATCGTTTATCAAGTGAGGCCGGCATTCCATGCCTCACTTGGGGAGACCCTTGTGCGAGTTGTGCTGACAACTCGCAGCGTGCACATAGGGATGTGTATTCCCTAGATTCGCCCTGGGGAAGGGCACACATCTCGGCTGAGATGCGTGACGCGATTGCAAACTTGCAATCCGTCTACAAGCGCCTAGGGCGCGTGTTTACCGATGGGCCCTCAGGACTCAATCGGATGAGTCTCGTCATACTGGCGGACGAGACCTTCAACATCCATCAACAGCTGAGAGCGGGGCTCCCAGCTGTTCCAAGAGGGTGGATACCCCCGCCACTGGACGAGGTAGCTCGTCCTTGATCCTGAATCGTCACGGTGGTTCAAGATACGCTCCACTAGAAAGCGTTGATCACCGTGAGCATCCACCAAAGGATGTGGTGGAGGAGGAAAGACCTCCTCCAGAACCCCAGGCCCACCATCTCGACCCTTACGAGATGGATCGCGCAATCGATGAATTGCGCGATGACTTGAAGCACGAGCGCGACCGGCGCTACGCTTTGACTGATACCGTGCGGAAGAACCGCAAGGATCGCGAGGCTGATCGGGCGAGAGACCGCGCCGATTATGCCACAGCGCAGCTTCAGGTCGAGCGGGATGTCCGCTCCCTTTTCGGCGAGCTGGCGACAGCTCGCGGGGAGATATCTCGGTTGAGTTCCGAGGTATCATATCTGCGCGACCAGACGGATCGTCTGGAGCGCGAACGCAAGAACTTGATGGATGTTCTTGAACGTGGGGGCTATCTTCATCGGAAGAAGAAGGCTCGTACTGACAGTACGGCCTGAGCCTCCCCACGTAAAACGTAGGATGCGTGCGCATCCTACGTGGCAATTCGAGTGTGTATGCATTGCCCTTGCGATGCAACACTCGAAATGGCCCAATGTATTTCGGCAGTAGTTTACTACTGCCGACACTAGTGACTGCATGTCCAGGTAAGTTTACCGTAGACAGTAGTACTAGGTCGTTAACCTTAAATGAAAGAACATTTGCTCTTCCATTCTTGTCTGCGTTCCGTTTCTGACGGTCCACCGCATTTGCGATGGAGTCCTGAACGAAACGGACTACCGCTTCTCGAGTCAGCAGGAAGTTCTCTGCTGACTCTTTGTTTTGTCTTTCAGTGCGCTTCGTGCGCACTGCTAAGAGATTGCTCTCTTCTTCAGCGAGGTTGTCTTCTTCCTCGCTGGCATAATCGTTGGCGATGCTGAATATACCAGCATCGTC